CGTGGTCTCTAATTAATTCCATCCCTTTGTTCTCATAAGCTTTGATTTCTGAAATTTATTTATTTGTTTATTTATTTGCACACCAAAATAGGTTTTCATACAAGGTGACTTAAGTCAAGTCCTATTTTATTATTTCACATCTTATTGATCCTTCAACTTTAAGTATTTTTGGGTTACATGATTTAGGAATTCCTTGGGAAGAGTCTAGTAGTTGAAAACTTCACATGATTGAATTATTCATTTACTATCCAGCCATTTATTTGTTAATTTAGGTTGAATTTCACCAAGAATTATTTGCTTAGGGACTAGTTCTTCTACGGTTCTTGAACTTAAATTCTTTTCACTCATTTCTCTACTGGACCACTATGGAATTGGATTAAGCAATGTACAAAATAGAATTTCTTGTGATTAGGTTGTTTATTAAATTCTTATTCTCTTCCTCCCCTTTTTATTGCCAATGCTTATATATATATATATATATATATATATATATATATCACCGTCACCTAACTCCCAGAGGTTTATTTGATTTAAGCGCTGCATCATTCTTACTCCATTCTAATCTATTCTTTTTATTTATTCATTACTTCATGAGCCACTCTAACTTTTCCTAATGTCATTATTCATTGTTTTCGGGGTACATCTATCAGTATAGATTTATTTTGTTTCATTATAAATGTTTCTACCTATGACTCTCACTTACGGTCTTTAGAGAATTTAATATATACCATGCCTAATCACTATCTTTTCCTTTCTTTTTATCAATTTTTTATTGTTGGATCATAACTCTCGAATTGTAGTCCTTTAATTCATTGTCGTCATGCGTGCACACCATGTACTAATTATTAAATTGTGTCCTCTGCACTATTTTTTTTGTATGAGTAAATTATCGGTAATTGTCAAATTATCCTCACGGCCACTCTTATAAAATGCTAAGGGTTGAATCCTATCACTATACAATTAAAAACTCAGCCCTCCAGCATATTAATCTCAATCAAATACAATAATAAAATATCAGTTCATTCTTCATACGAACAATCGCAACAAAAAGACAAGTATCCTGTTCACTTAGTCTATCTCTATATACAATATGTGCACAACTTACAAAATAAGTCCTATTCGTATGACTACTAATGAAGATAAGGAAAATTCAAGGTTATTACTTTTGTTACAGAACATCCTTACTTATGCTGTCATGAGATTAATTAATAGGTCCATCTGTTTTCCTCATTCGGTTTCTTGCTCTCTCCCTATATTCTTAAGGAATACATCACACAATACCCTTTTTACATGCAAGAGTTATATGGGGTTCACTCAAGTTCTGGTTTGTTCTAATCCTCATATCCACACTGTAACTCCTATTATTTAGTCTCCTTCCATACCATAATGGGGACAATTTCCATGAGATTGCATGAAATAAAATCTTAACTAATCCTAAGGCAAGAGTCCATCTAAGCACACAGCAAGGCCTCAACTAACATGCAACAAGAAACTCAATTAACATGTAGCGAGGTTTGGCAAAATTTCACACATTTTGAACTCCCCCTTGTTAATAAGAATCACATGATTGGAAAAGGATATGGAGTGTGGAGGGTCGCGGTTCAGCTTGGTGTAGTCCTTGATGAAGTCTCTCAAGAAGCCAAATGAAGAAAGCAAAATATGGAAGGATGGGAAAGTGAAAAGAAAAAAATAAAAGAGAAGATTAAAATATAAGTATTAGATTGTTTGTTTATGATGGATTTCAGGATAAGTCATGGCAAGAAGGTATAGTCTAGCAACGACAATTGTCCTTAACAGATTGGCTGATGGTCTAGAATGTCGTGGTGGCACTCAAGATGAAAATGAGCACGAAGGATTGGATAGGTTTCTAAAGAGAAATCCTTCTCAACTCAAGGGAGGTTATGACCTAGCTGGAGCACAAGCTTGGATTCGAGAGCTTGAAAGGATTTTTGACACTTTGTTATGCACTAAGACACAAAAGGTAACATATGTTGTGTACTTGATGGTTGATGAAGCTGAAAACTAGTGGAAGCATGTTAGGATGACATTTGAGAATGAAGACAGAGATATTGTCTGGAATGCCTTCAAGGAAACATTACTTAACAAATATTTTTCAACTAATGTAAGGAATAGAAAGGAATTAGAATTCTTAGAAATTGAAATAAAGAAGTATGACTATTGGCGAGTTCACCGCCAAGTTTGAAGAGTTGGCATTGTACTACCCTCCGTATCAGATGGCGGACAGTGAAGCGTCAAAGTGTATGAAGTTTGAGAATGGTCTGAGAGCAAAAATCAAGGAGGCAATAGGGCACCAAGAGATCCGTGAATTCTTATGCTAATCAACAAGTGTAGAATCTTTGAAGGGAATCATAAGAGGATAACTCAATCAAAAGCAACCCAATTACACTGCTTGAAGGATTTGATTACACTAAAACAATCAGTCCTATTGTCAAACCTATTACCATTCGAATTATTCTTTCACTTGCTTTATCTAGCAATGGCCAATTCATCAGCTAGATGTAAATAATATTTTCTTGAATTGAGAGCTGCAAGAAGTGGTGTTCATGAGTCAACCACTGAGTTTCAAAGTTAGGAATCAAAAGCTAGTATGCAAACTGACAAAAGTATGGTCTCAAACAAGTACTAAGGGCTTGGTTTGAGAAACTCAATAATACTCATGTTCACTTAGGATTCCATGCTACCAAATATGACAATTCACTCTTCATCAGATTATCTCACACATCATCCTTATATATACTTGTCTATGTTGATGATATATTGATAATAGAAAGTTCTTCATCAGAAATACAAGCAATCACTGAAACTCTTCATTCTAAATTTGTTGTAAAGGATCTTGGTCAACTTTAGTATTTTCTGGGCATTCAGACATTTAGAAGTCTAGAAGGCACTCTTCATCTCTCTCAAACAAAATATATTATTAGTCTCTTAAAGAGAGCTAATATGAAATCATGTAAACTAATGCCTACATATGATTTCTAGTCTCAAACTCTCTGCTCATCAAAGAATTTGCTTTCATGATCCTTAGACCAATAGTAGGAGAACTACAATATATTACTATAACATGACTAGACATCACCTTCTCTATCAATAAGGTCTATAAATTCATGCACAATCCTTTAGACACTTATTAGAAGGCAGTCAAATGTATACTTAAATACCTTTATGGAACTCAACAATTTAGTTTACAATTTAAAATATGCTCAAACTTTCACTTCTTTGCTTATTGTGATTCTGATTGGGAGACTGATCTAGATGTCAACCTCTAGATTATGCATGTATTGATTCCAAAATTAACTGAAAATTACATTTTATCTCAATTTTTTTTAACATGGACTGATACTTAATATTCAAAATATGTTGTGAACAAATTATGTATGTATTTAAAATAAAATTTTGCTTACATATGTTTATAAAAATGTAATTAGAAAGATTTATACATAAAATGCGTTGTTTAGTGTTGATATAAAATAGAACGAAACATATTTTATGTTTAAATTTAAGATGAAGTTATTATGAAAAATTTAAATAATGAAATTTAATCTTCAATTATTTTTTTAATAAGAAAAATATAATATGTTTGGGAGTATTATAATTATAAATTTTAATAAAATAAAGTTGCTTTGGGTTCAAACATTTATTAAGCATCGACGTTTGAAATAAATACTTACATAAGAACATATATAGTATAAAGAAAAAATCAATGTTTAAAACCGTATCACAATACTAATATAAATAAAAAGGGGGAATACCATGTAATCATGCATGTTGGAGTCTTAAACAATCATACCAGAAACTCGATCAGTTGTCCCCATTAGACTAAACAAATTAAATAAAATCATTGAAAGACAACCCACTAATCCTCAATTTCTATCCGTTGCACCCAACCTTAATTATTATTTTGTTGCTGTTATTATTGTTGTTATTTTAGCAGATCTTAACATTCTATTTTTATCCCGTTACAATCGTTGAATATAATTGCTACCTTTCTAATCTAATGTTTTAGATTAGTATTTTTTTAACAAAGGATTGTAGAGTTTGAATGTTACATGTACCACAATTGGTTTATTAATTTATCTTCTTAGATCAAATTAAAGTTGGATAGTTTCATCAATATTTTATATTTTTTTGGCAGTTTTATTAACCCCTGTGGCATTTTTATATTAGCAATCTAAGATTGGATAAAGGAGTAGCGCATGTCTGTTTGAAAACAATGGATGACGTTAATAAAATAATAGTTAAAATAAATGAATAATTAACGAAGAAAACTAGTCCATTGAACCTTTAGCAGATCGACCATATATTTGGAATCTTTCTACAGAAGAATATGACAGAAGGATTAAAGAAACAAATATAAAAGCCAATAAATTCGCCTTTTTCCTATATTATATCGTTAATCAAGAAACTTTACACGTAAAATTAGGAACAATTTTTTAAACATACATTAAAAAATCATCAGATATAGTATATGAATAAATGTTAAATACTTTAATTTTTAATAAAAATTATTTATGCATTAATTTTTTATTATATATTTATAAAAACTTAAAACGTTGAGATTTGCATGTACGAAGAAGTTAATCAGGTAAAAGTCTGTTTAAAATAATAATTTTAAAATTTAAACCTTTGCTGTTGTAAACATAAATTTTTAAAATAACTTAATTTTAAAATTTTTTATTCACGTCATCAATATCTCACGTTAGATTTCATCTGATTTAAAATAAAATGAATTTAACTCAAATATGATGTTTTATGTTTGACAAATTAAATTTTTTTATTATTATTTTTAGACATCGTGTATCATTTGCTTAAAATAACCTTATTCGTTAAGATTTTTATAAACAGTAAAATTTTCTTCTAAATAGTTAATATAATTGTATTCATTCGAAGTTGGATTCAACTTAATGTCACTGACTACGTTAATTTATCTTTATTTATAATTAAATTTCCCTTTCTCTTTTTTTTTTTTTTTTCTCAAAACAAAACTACTAACATCTTTATTCAGGTCTAGAGTAAAGTTCAAGCAATCAACTTAAAAATATGTTTAGTTTTCAAAAATATATTTAATAACAAAACACATTACACATTGACGAGTAGAAGATAATTATCAATATTTTTAGAATTACTTTTGGACTCTTCACAAACAAGTCATGATTCTTATAATCTAAAATTTAATTTAATTGAAAAAAGTATAGATATCCTCTCATTTAAAACATTAAAAAATTACATTCGTTAATCTAAAGAAAATATATAATATTTTCTCAAATTTATAAGTACAAGAAACACCTTATTATAAACTCATCTTTACTTTATCATTCTCAGTTAGAAACTAAATTTTTTACGTTTTCTAGATCATTTTACCATCATCATTTCTACCAAAATAAACGTAAAAGGTATTGAAAACGATCAAATTCAAAATTGTAGAGGTGACAAGTAGAATCCTTTCAGTTTCAGAAAGATAATAATAACAGAGATATGTCTGCTCCACTTTGATGCATCATATTCATATGCTTTTATACTATTCAAATTAAATGTTGGACTTTTGACATCCTCCACTTAGTTATGTAGCAGCCAAACCCACAGCTTTTTCACTTTACCACTGACCCACGTAGACAACAACTAGTTCCTGTCTTTGCTTCATTCCTACATAGCCACCCCATCAATGTCAGCAACATATTCTTCACCAACCTCCTTCAAATTTCAGCAAACTTAAACCCTTAAATACAAAATTTATTGGACAGTTTAGGGCTACCACGTATTCATGATTTTAATCGATTACCATGCGAGATATGATAATATTTTTTAGTTAATAAAAAATTTAATAAAACTCCAACATATGTCATAAAATAACTAGGTGAAACTAAAGATATGAGTAGGCCTCATATCACCAAATAATTTCTTCTTTATAGTGGTTTCTCTTTCCTCCCAACACATCCATTTATACCGATTAATATTTTCAAGCTTTAAGGCCCTTGTGAGTATCTTTCAAAGTCCTTGATTTTCTACATCTTTTCTCATGGGCAACCTGCTCCTCCAACTCTTCTATGTGTTGGTGTTCCTTCTGATCCCAGTTTCATCTCAACCTAACCAGCTTTTCTATGCTGGATTCGAGGGTGTGGGCAGCAACAACATAACCTTGAATGGTGCAGCAGAAATAGAACAAAATGGAATATTGAAGCTCACAAATGAAACCAGTAGATTAATGGGTCATGCTTTTTATCCAACTCCTTTTCAGTTCAAGAACTCTAGTGATGATAAAGCTTTCTCCTTTTCTTCCTCATTTGCTTTGGTTATTGTTCCTGAGTATCCAAAGCTAGGAGGGCATGGCCTTGCTTTTACAATTGCAACTTCTAAGGATCTCAAGGCTCTTCCAAGCCAATATCTTGGTCTTCTTAACTCAAGTGACATTGGAAACTTCTCTAACCACCTCTTTGCTGTTGAGTTTGACACTGTTCAAGACTTTGAGTTTGGGGACATCAATGACAACCACGTTGGAATTGACATCAACAACTTGGCCTCCAATGCTTCTTCTACTGCAGGTTACTACACTGAGGACAATGGTTCAACCAAACAAAATCTCAATCTCAAAAGTGGGAAACCCATTCTAGCTTGGGTTGATTATGATTCTGCTCAGAATGTTATCAATGTCACACTTTCTGCTTCTTCTACCAAACCCAAGAGGCCAATCTTGTCCTATGCTGTGGATCTCTCACCAATCCTTAAGGATTCCATGTATGTCGGGTTCTCTGCATCAACAGGGTTGCTTGCTAGCTCCCATTACATTTTGGGTTGGAGCTTCAAAATCAATGGAGAAGCTCCACCTCTTGATCTCTCTTCTCTTCCACAGCTTCCATTTGCGGGGCCAAAAAAGAGTCACACATCTTTGATAACAGGAGTTTCAGTCTCTGGTTTTGTTCTTGTATTGTCTGCAATTTTACTTGGCATCTACATGTACAGAAGAAACAAGAATGCTGATGTTATAGAAGATTGGGAGCTTGAGATTGGGCCACACAGGTACTCCTACCAAGAGCTCAAGAAAGCAACAAAAGGTTTCAAAGACAAAGAGCTACTTGGGCAAGGTGGATTTGGTAGAGTTTATAAGGGAACACTGCCAAATTCCAATACACAAGTTGCGGTTAAGAGAATTTCACACGAGTCAAAACAAGGCCTGAGAGAATTTGTATCAGAAATAGCCAGCATAGGCAGGCTTCGCCACCGGAATTTGGTTCAGTTGTTGGGGTGGTGTCGCCGCCGCGGCGACCTCCTCCTTGTGTATGATTTCATGGCTAATGGGAGCTTAGACAAGTACTTATTTGATGAGCCAGAAACAATCCTAAGTTGGGAGCAAAGGTTTAAGGTCATAAAGGATGTTGCTTCAGCACTTTTGTATCTTCATGAGGGCTATGAGCAAGTGGTGATACACAGAGATGTGAAGGCTAGCAATGTGCTGTTAGATGGTGAACTCAATGGAAGACTAGGGGATTTTGGATTAGCAAGGTTGTATGAACATGGGGCTAATCCGTGTACCACAAGAGTGGTGGGTACCTTAGGCTATTTGGCACCTGAGTTGCCTAGGACAGGAAAGGCCACTCCTAGCACTGATGTTTTTGCATTTGGTGCACTTTTACTAGAGGTGGCATGTGGGCTCAGACCAGTTGAGCTAAAGGCATTACCAGAAGATTTGGTTTTGGTGGATTGGGTGTGGAGCAGGTACAGACAAGGGAGAATTCTTGATGTGGTGGACCCAAAACTGAATGGTGTTTTTCATGAAAGAGAGGTGCTCTTGGTGTTGAAATTGGGGCTTATGTGTTCAAATGGTGCCCCCACTGCTAGGCCTAGCATGAGGCAAGTGGTGAGGCTTTTGGATGGAGAAGTTGATTTACCAGATGAGTTGACAAAGTCAGGCGAGATAACTTACCAGGAGGGTTTTGATGAATTCTTGCACTCCCTTGAACCTTATTCCTTCGATAAGATGAGCGCAAGTTCCTATAGTAGAAATAGAGACACGGATGCTAGTTTTCCTTCTACTAATACATCTCTTTTTCTCCAAGGTAGAGGAGAAACAAGGTGATTACCTACATTAATTGTAATTAGAGTTACACTTTCTATACTCATCATATTTGTTTATTTTACAATTTTATCATCCCATGATGTCTCGTAATCATGTGCAGAAAGTTATGGTCATGATAAATTATATATAATCAAAACATGAGGCTTCTATTTTAATTCCGTTACCCAGTGGAATCCATTTTATGGATCATAGTATCCCAATTCATGTCATGACATAGTTTGATGTACACTTTTGCTTACTTATGTATTTGGTGGTGCCTAAGATTTGATGAAACAGTAAACTTTCAAAACTCTGCCTAAGGATCAAAGTATTTTCATTCATGCTGAAACAATTTCTCCTTATTAAAAAAGGCAAATTTTGGCTCTCAGATTTGTTGTTAATGTCATCCATTATTGAATTCTATAAACTTTTTAACCTTTCTTTTAGCAAGGTTGGTCTTGAATTGAGTGGTATCAACCTCTTCACAAAAAATAAAGAATAAAAAATGATTACCTACTACACTTGCTCATGTCTAAGGAGGAAATGTTCCCCACTTAAACTTGTTCCCCACAGGTAACACATCAATGGGAACTGACAACTCTTCTAGGCTATATAGTATTACAGCTGCAAATGATGGTAACTTAATTACATCTCAGAAGTCAGAACAAATTTAAATGATGCAGAAAGTCCTGTTTCGTCAAATTTAGTAGGTAAACAGTAACTTCAACTATTTATTCCTTCTGCCTACTCCCCAACAATGAGTATCTTAACTCAAATTCGTTATGTAAGGCTTGTGCCCTATCTTTTCTTTTAGTACATTTTATCATATAGGCCAATTTAAAATTTTAACAACACTTATTTAATTAGTATTTGACTCAACATTTTACAATTGAACCTCTTCCAATTAATTAATATATACATAATTTTATTTTAAAGAACTTTATAAAAATTATATTTGATCTAATTTCTCTTTTTAAAAATATGAGAAATATCACTGAACATGTGGATCAATTGCCAAAAAATCATTTTAGCTTCACATTTAGTCTTGAGTCTGAATTCTACTAAATATGAACAAAATATATATATATATATATATATATATAGTACAAAAAAAATTAATTTAAATGTTACCATAATTAAGTAGACTAATTGAACGTTTTGTTTTGATTCACTGTGTTATTAATAATATATATTTATTTTTTGCACAGTATATGTTTATTACCTCATCATTCAACAAATTTAACAACTTTGAAATTTTATATTAGATGTCAAATAATTTTAACAATATTAAGATTTTGCATTAAATGTCAAACTAATTGAATGATAAAGCAAATTAAAGTTTGTTCAGTGTAAAAGAATTTACAATGTCGAATAATCAAAATACATAATTTTTAAACTATTTGTTACAAAAAACAATAATTTTTACTAATACATAATTAGATAACAATGTAAAAATATTATAAGAATTAACTTTTGCAAAAATAAGCCTGGTTATTTAATCAAAATTTAAGGGGCCGTTTAATTTTAGAAAATGTTTTAGTTTTTAGTTTAATTCTAAAGATAAAAGTGCTACCTTATTTTTGTTTTATTTTTTATTTTCAAATATTTATGTAGATCTCATTAGGCTTTAGTTGCACTTTTAGTCTATGTCATTAGGTTTGTGTATAATTTTAGTCTCTCTACTTTTAATTATTTACATTCAGTTTCAATAATTTTTTAATTGTTGAAATTAAGTTTCTCAGTCTAAAATTGGTGACAGTAATTTGTTTAGATTTTCAAGCAAAAATTATATAAAATAATTAAATGGAAATAAAATGGATTTTATTACAATTTTTATACGTATTATTTGATATTTTTTAAAAGCTAATATATTTTTTTGTTATTAAAATATAGAAATCAATAATATGTAACACTTCTATTATATTTTTGTTAGTTATTTGATTAAATTTTGATGTGAGAGACATAATTTAAACTATTAAAAAATTAAGAATATTAAATGTGAGGATTTAAAATTAGAGGTCAAGATTAAACATAGAATGTATGTTAGACAAAAAATGTAATTAGGTCATTTTTTATTCTTTTTATTATTTTCTAAAAAATAATTAAAAATAAAAATAAAATAAGAAAGTAACATTTTTATAATTAAAAATGTAAACATAAAATATTTCCTAAAATAAAAAAAGAAGCTTATCTTCTTCCATAGAAAAAATTAAAAAATCCGGCCTCCCCCGACCGGAAAACATGTTGCATTTATATATTTTTCTGTTTTATAAAATGAATATATTGTCTATTTATTTATAATATATGAAGTCTGAAACCCAAATTTTATGATTGATTCGTCAACAACATATAAACATTCTTCATTTGCAATGTCTTCATATTGTACTGAACTGTTAGCTTGTCCTTAAATTACTTATTTTTCTTTATTTTTTTTCTGTAAATATGAGTTACATTGCTTTTAAGCCATATTAATTGTTTGAGTTAATTTTTAACATCACTTACCTTCTTTTTAGGTAATCTTAATTATTTCAGTTCCTATTTTAATTGATTTAAATTCCAACCTGACTCCTTAGTTAGCTAAAAATGTTACAGCTATTATCAAAAGAGAAGATCCAAATAAATGGGTGTTTTTAGCCAGTCTGTGTCTATCATCACAGTTAACGTTGCAAGCCTTAACAATAATTTATTAAAAACAAATAAAATTTATATGGATCTCACTCTTAATTTAATAATTTACATTTCTAATTTAATAGTTATTTTTCACTCTTTTATAATTTTTAATAATTTTCCGTAAATAATTAACAGTATGTTAAAGAATGTATTTATATCGTTCCTCTTTACAATATAACCTTTTAGACTAACCTATTTAATATGTAGAAGTTAATCGTATTTTATATTATAAAAATTTTACCAAATCATTTATATTAAAAATGTACACAATTATTTTTAAAAAATAGTATACACAAAATTAGTCATTTTATATAAACTATGCACATAATTCATTTAAAAAATATATATTCAACCCAGTGCACGAGTCAATATCTATAATTTGGTAGGTGGTTTATTTTATATATTTTAGAATATCATATCTAGAAGTCACATTAAATATAAATATAAACCAATATATTCAATCTAGGTCGGATGAACTCATTTAGTAAGACTCTTTCGTGGGAATTCTATTATTTAATAAAAAAAATTTATCTTGAAAAAGAAATTAAATGAAGAAAAAATAATAATAAAGAATTTATATATTTTGCATAAATTAGGAGTACAAGTTATTTTTCAAATCATAGACATCCCAAAATAATGAATGGTTGATTTATTGTTCATACAATCATAATTTCTCGTGGGTCAACTTTGACCTTTGTTAAAGAATCTTTTAAGTCAAACATGTAAGATTTAGAAGTCAAATGTATTAAAATACTCAAAGTTTACTTATGATTCATATTTTATATTCATTTATATAGTCTCATTGCATCTTTCAAAATACCTTTTCTCTTTTTATTTATTTCATTTAGCATGTTTTTTATTTTTTGCATTAAATTAGAATTTTCATGAATACTTATTATTTTTACTTTATATTTTATAATTTTTTTATTCTAACCTTTATCCACTATTTCATCCATAACTTTTTCTGTAAATCTTCTCCTTTTTGGCTGATTCTTTTTGCAATGGATTCCTGACTTCTTGGGCTTTAATTTGGACATGGATCGTGTTGTTTGGAATTCAGAGCTATTTTCTATTAATTTTTAAAGTTCAAACTTAAAACATACCTATTATATTTAGGGTTTTTATTTAAGGCTTTTATTATAATTGCTTGCAGCAACCTTGACCCATTTATTTCTATTTTCATTTAATACCAGTATATGTAGCGGTCAAAAGGAAACCAATGTAAGACTTTTTCATAATTTTGAATTTTGTAAGACTTTTTCTCGCTTTTGAAAGAAAACCTTTTTCGTTCCATTCACTTGCCTCTTTTCAGATTTTGCTACGATTCTTAATTATTCTTTTCTCGCAAATCATCTCGTCTCAAACGTAGATTGCAAGATCGATTGATCGCTCCAAATTTATCTTTTTACTTTCTCGCAAGATTAGTATATGCATAATTCGATTAAATTTGATTTTTATTCTTGAGTATAATAGTGATTAATTGATTTCTTTTGCATTTGAGATTTAGACAAATTCAATATAGTAATCCTAATCTATGTCTGTGATTCGTGATTTTAATTATGTTAGTTCATTTTAATCTACATTTATTTTACTCTCAAATTGTTTTCATTTTCCTATTCATTTTCAATTCATTTATTTGGGTTTTTGCTTCCAATTTATTTTCTGTTTCTTTTTCCATTTGTTTCTTTTTCAATTGCTTTCGTTTCTTTTTTATTTTACATTTTTGGGTTCATTTTTATTTTCGTTTTTGCTTTCATTCTTCCTTCAATTTGTTTTCTAAATTTTATGTTTAAAATTAGAAATAGAATAAATTTATGTTCTTGTAAGATGACCTAGAATTACTCTCTATATTTCAAAATTAATTAAATAATCTAATTTTGTTTGAAAAGTGTTGTCATTTACTTCCATTTTCTAAGGAAAGTTTACGTTAAGTTTTAGGGAGCCAATATTCATGGCGGCTATAACAATTTATGGGTATTATTGTTAATTCTAAATCATAAGCCGTGAAGAAGGGGATATATAGATAGAAGCACATTTGTAAACAAGTTAACAACTCGGAATTAGAGCCTTCGTAAAGCAACCGTTCCCATGTCTCTTCAATGCAATCAGTACACAGTAATGTGAAAGATTATGCAAAATTAATGGACGATAGCCCTTGGTTTGTGTGATCCTTTGCTTACATCTTCAAAGCAGCTCTTGCCATGGCTAAGGCACCGTCGAAGCATTGGTTTCCGCCAATAAATCCACTCATATGCACAAAAACACAGCCAGGAATGGCAGCCTCCTTGGACAGTTCATCATCCCTTAAACCTCTCCACTGTGATGGTAGAGGCTTTCTGCTCTCAAACCTGTCAGGAGATACTGCAACTGCTTGCACCCTCCATTGTTTGCTTCTCTCATCCTGTAAATGAAATTAAGAAAGGTAATGTGGCGAAATCAGTTGATTGTTAAAAGAAGCTAGATGACATATATTCATCAGACAACCTTAAAGAGGTAGTTAAAAGCTTCAGGTGATGGTGCTATGGGGACTTTATTATTTTAAGTGAACAAGACTATGAGGTAGAATAAAAAAATGGAGCACTAGAGCAAGAAAAAATATAGTAACTGAAACAAAAGGAAAAATGGGAGAGTAGGACTAAAAACAATACACTAGAGCCAAAAAAAGTAGTAAAAAAAAAACAGATATAAAGGGTAGAACAAGTTGAAACAAAAAGAAATCAGAAATGGAGATGTGTAGCTGGAGAAGGTAGCCAAAAGATGGAGATCACTGCAAGTGATGGAAGAGGAAAGAAAGACTTGTGAAAATAGGAGTGACCTAGATGGCTGACGAGGTGTCTTTTTGTGCTTTACGGTTTCACACAAACACATGGGTCATGCCAACATGGGTTATACCATTAAAAGTGTGTTGGACCCTTTCTAGCTTTTTGGAGCTTCTTTCCACAATTTCTTGTATGAGCCGCCAAGGCCACCAATATGAATACCACCATGAGCCGTCAAATGTCCATGATGCTATTCTGGCATGCTCCCAACTTTTAACACAGCAAGCATGGCACAATAGCAGCATTGTCCCAACAATTATTTTTGTCATTTTAAATTCATATCTACCTTTCTTAAATGATTTGATAGCTTGCAGTCATACTCTCTACAAAATGTGGGCTTTAAATTTGAAAACCAAGTCTCTTTTTATTTTTCATTCAGGTCTCATCCCCCACTTATTGAAGAATTGGACCATAATTTTGGCCCACTTAAACATTAAAATGGGCCCCCAAAATCCAGCAAGGGATTTGGACTTTGGACATACTAAACAGCCCAATTTCTAGATATTTTGGACCTTTTAATTGAAATTCAGCTGCTAACAGAGTACGTTAATGACAAGTGACAGATTATGATTTCTGAGCTCCAATGAACCAAAACAAAGCCAATAAAGGCATAGCTTACAAGTCACTCATTGTAAAAGTTTTTCCATCACCTGACCTTTTTTGGAGACTCTTTCAGGACTAGAAGTATAAAATACTTGAAAGAAAAGTACATACCTGATACAGAACATACTTAATTGGAGGGTCGATTTTCATCTCTCCCTCTAGCTCAAATAAGTGAAGCTTCCACTGCAAAAATACATTATGCAGTTTAAGCTTAATAGTATTATTGTGCATTTAATACCCAAGGAGAAAGAAAAATGTAGAAATTTAGTGTATAAGGAGAAAAAAATTTCATAAGACATTTCCTATATAATTGAACATTGCCCCAGACACTGATCATTCTAGATTGTAAGCAATAGCAGTAATCTGTTGATGATCTTTATACCACCTATAAAGTTAATTTTAATGGGGGAAGAAAATATTCGGATCAACACACGAACACATCAGTTACATGACAACTAAGACCATACTATATCCAGGAAGTTGTTTTGCTATCCAATTGCCAGTTGTAAGGATAAAAATCAGTGAAATCGCACAAATTAAACTGCAGAACTCAAGAACAACCTACAGGCACTAGTTTAAATAAACTGATTACAAAATCATCTTTCCATTAATTATACCTAGTTTAAATGTTCGCATGAAAACTTGTATAATAATAATATAAGAAATATGTGAGTTCTTTTTATCAAGAAATGACCAAGATGTCAGTCTAGATCCAAGTTCAAGTAATGATTTCAAGGATTAAACAAAATCTTGTTTCTGCATTTTGCAACTTAGTAATGTTTCCATGAAAATTTGTATGAGAAATGCTCTAAATATTTTTCAACACAAACTTTCAAGATGTTAGTTGACATGCAAGTTCAGGCTTTATATCATCATTTCTGAAAATATTACAGTTAAATAGGAATAATTCAAATCAATCAACTTCAAATGTGAACAAAATGATAGAAGAGGGAGGCAAGAATTTTCAACTCACAGGACAAAATTTATTCAATACTATTATTTCTCCACTAGGATCAACAGTCTGTCTAGCCACAAGAGTCTCCATTACAATTGACCTTGCTGGTAACCATGAATTTACATGAAATCGAACACTCTGCAAGGGGGCAGGGTAGTTTAAACAGCAAAGCAAAAGATAAAACAAGCATGAGCATATCTTAAACCCTCAAATTCATGTCAGAGTTCAGAAAGAAAGGGCATGAGGAGTGAAGACTCACATCCATAAACTCATTTCCAGCAAGAGCCATAGCACGTCGAAAAGCCTCATTTTCTTTCTCCAGTGACTGATCAGGATCTGTCCAATCCAAATTTAGCCTTCCTACTCTTGAGGATAAATGAGTATTATTCACATATTTTGGAGGCTGGTCTGTATCATACTGATTGATTCCATTGTCTATAGCATCAATTGCCTGATATAATTAAACAAGAACAATATTTATCATGTCCCCTTATACCATTAGAAACATGTTTTGTTTAACTGATCAGGCTACTTTAGAATGACAAAGAAAACCTAAATGCACCACTAGTCCCATAAGCCCTTCAGCAGGAATTTATCAAATTAAACCCAAAAACTATTGGTTCTTAGTTGTGTGCCCAAAACATAAGTCAACCAAAGTTCTCTTTCAACAAAACCATTCAGCAATAGTTATCAAATAATACACCACTAAGTCATACATAGTCCAACAAAGAAACAAAATCTAGGATCCCAAGAAGCTCACAAAAACATTAAGTATGTCTGCACTCAGACTTAAAACTTTATCACCATTCACCAACGACAATGATGATCATGAAGAAAAAAAAAAGGCTCTATGCCAAACATTGAGTTGTGAAAAGAGACCAGACTCTCAAATGCCTCGGTCTTATGTTGTAAGCAACCTTTACCTTTCTGCACCTTGGATTTCCCTAATCCAGAGAAGGTATCTGTTCAATTAAGAAAGAAAATCTCTTGTGTTAATTCCTATTCGAACCAGTATCTATTAGATGTTTGAGTCCTCTCAGCATACACTATCCTGGTGAAACACCACTAAGTCTCCTCAAATCCAGATTTTACTCAATAAGAATAACATAATAATTGAAAGGGTCTTGCTAACCAGAATCCTAAGAACAATGACTAAGGTATCAAAACGGAAAGTTTTCATTGGAAATCACTTTGTGATGCATTGAAAATCACGGGAGCAAATACATTAATAACAGTTTTTTTAGTAAAAGCTTTTCATTTTTAATTCTTTTGGACACTGATTAGCATTTGTTTAATTAAAATGAATCAATACAAGTGCAAGAATTAAACCAAGCAAGGTTTTACAAAGTATATGTAATTGGAGGCAGAAAGACAATAATGGAATTCAAAATTTATTACCTCCATGAAGCTCTTGTAAACAGCCAAATATATGTAATGAACATCTTGGTGCTCTTCATCTACCTTGAGTTCTTTGGCTATAATCTCCTTTCCAAAATGCTACAGACAGAAAACATAAGTTAAATATAATTATTAAGGTATATTCACATTTAGAAAAACAAAAATATTAAAAAACAATTGGCAATTGTACCAAAGCAAAGGAATTTACCACCATTTAAATGAAGAAAACATGACAAGTGGTAAAACCAAAATAGGTTGTTTAAATGAGAAAAATTACCTTATAAACAAGACCAGCACTACTCAATTTAGTGGAGAAACCATGTCCAAAAACTTCGTCAAATCCCTTTTGATGATGATCATACCGATCTTGGGCAGGGTCATACACTCCCCCAACATCAAGAACAGTATCAAGACCCTCCAACACCTACAGACCAACAATATAATTTACAAAAAAATTTCAAACAGATATTAAGTCACAAACTTCCACTCCATTCATTTGCTTAAGTCTAACCTAGACACATTGGGCGACAACAAAAAACTAACACCTGGAACAAGATAAAAACTTAATGCATCTCTCATAAATTTCCACTGCCCCTCCCACAGTCTCACCTTTCCGTCGACGACTACAATTTAATATTAGACAAACCAATTCGTTGACAACTCGAAAAATCTCACTCTTGTCCAAATTTTCTAGGCAGCCAAACACGGACACACAATCATAAAAAGGTCTACTGACTACAGTCTTTATTTCTTTATTTTGGATCATTGACTACAATTTATCAACAAAAAATATTTCCCAAACAAATCAATACCTCGCTGAAGCGCTCATAAGTCATTAAACTTCCAGAAATTAAAGAAACACATTTGCTTTGCAACCAACAAAGTAAAAGGAAACACTTTCTCAGCAACCAAACAAAAAAAATGCTGATTAACTAAATCCCCAAAATATCAAAATTTATCATTAACAAAATAAAAAACAAGCACGACATTTTCTCAGCAACCAAACAAGAACAAAGGAAAAAGGAAGGAAGATGGAGTGAGAGGGAGACAGGAAGCTGACATGGGGGTCGCGGGTGCGAACGATTTCAGCGTTGTTGAATCTGTCAGTGAGGCGAATCATGAAGCAGCCAAGTGCCTCGTCGCAGTGGAAGCTTCCGTTGTGCGTGCCCACGCGCTTAAGAGGCACGTGAACGGGAGAACCAGGAAACGAGGAAAACAAAGCAGAAAGCCTAGGACTTGTTGCTTGGTTTGCCATTAGAAGAAGTGGAAGTGTTAGATGGCACTGCGTGTTTCTGTGGATTTTGAATTTGATGAATAATCCCTTTGTTGTTGCTGCCCGCATGCCTTTCCTCCTAACCCCTCACTTTCTAACGTTTTAGTATCCTCCCTGCCCCCCCAACAAACCCTCCCCATATTTCCGAACCTTAATTTTCTAGGTTTTAACTATTGCCGTTACACTTCTTTTCTTTTTCTTTGAATCCCCACTTGTTTCTATATGTTAAATCTAAGTTATCTTAATAATTTATACTTAAAAATTTATTAAAATAAATTTACAAGAGTAATAAATTATTTATAAACTCTCTTGAACGAACTCTCTGCCTTAATTCTATACTTAATTTTTTAAAAATATAAAATTTATATGCAAAATTTTAAGTATAATTAATATTAATTTTTAATTTTTTTAATATAAATAATTTTAGAATGAGAGAATAATATCACATTCTGAGAAAGTTAATATATTTAAAAAAAAGTTTATGAAATATTTACATTTACATCATCTTAAGAAAATAAGTAAGAATTTTTACTTGTAACATATGAAATACGATAATATATCTTACTTCACTCAATTTACTCTTTAGAGTTATGTTATATTTAACTTTTGATGTTTTTAAAATTACTTAAATGTATTTTAGTTATTATTATTTTGACTATACTGCTTGTATAATTAAAAAATTGTTAATAATGATTTTATGTTCGTGATACTTAAAAAAGGAGAAGACATCTTTTAAAATTATTACTTTTAAAGTAAATTATAGGTGCAGTTGCTTAGGTGTTGTTGATATTAAAATTATTTAAAGTATTGGTTAAAATTGAAGTGAATTGTGAACTAAACTGAATTGTAATGAATAACATTTTATTAATATTTTATTTATCTTTTTTTTTATAGATTTTTAATAGAAAAATAAAGTTAAAAAATATAAATACCATAAAAATTTTAATTATGTTATTTATTTCAACTTTCCTATTTTTTTTTGTTCAATTTACATTAATTTTATAATTATCTTTTGTAATTTTACTCATTATAATAATTGTGCAAGAATTTTTGGACAAAATCTATGAGATTTAAACTCTTGAGAGAAAATTTAGTGAAAGTACTTAATTTCAATATCTAAAGTAATTACTTTACTAGCTTTTTCAAGATTCAAGTGAAAGTAATTACTCTCAACACTGAAAGTAATCACTTCAGAAACAATTCAGAGAAACGAAAATTGTGCGTATTTACTTTTACTACCCATAGTAGTTACGCACGTTGTGCATAATCACTTTCACTATTGAAAGTGAACACTACAGAGAAAAAAAAAGTGCATAGAGCTGCGCGTAAACACTTTCAGTAGTCAAAGTAATCACTCCAGGAAGTGTTACCCTTACTATAAAAATTGATTTTCACTTTTAGGATAGGAACCTTTCTGTCATTTCTTGTAATTTTTTATTTTTCCACTTTTATAGGATTAAGGTAGGAGTTCTGGGCGGCTGCCTAAGAACTCCGTTTTAGAGTTTCCATTTCTTTGCTTCTTTTACTCTCTTTTTCTTGTTTTCTAAATATTAATTATTTGTAATGTTGGATTCCATCTTTATAGGAGGCTAAGTTTTGAGGATTAATTCCTAATATGGTTCATAATGGTTCTTGAAGTTTGGGTTTGATTGTTAATACGAATTTCCTCTTGCACAAATTTATTTTCCCTAATCTCTTGAAATCTAAGTTAGGATTTGAACAAGAGTTGTTTGCTTAATTCAGTCAATGTTCTTTTCTTAATAAGGGATTTATAATTCAGTTTGCTTAATTTTGTATTAGGTTTTAGGTTTGCTTAATTCCATGGACCAGAGATTGGAGTTCAAGTAATTTGTTTAATCTTGCATGAAAATCTAAGAATTAATTGACACTTGTTCCAATTAATTCAAGTATGTGAAAGAATTAGTATTTAATTCTTGGATAACTAATGATTGAACCGACTGTGGATAAACTAGGAATTAATCTAATTTATTGATTGATTTTCTTAAGTTCGTATTTCTATTTTGAATGATTAAAGACTTTAAACCACTACCAAACACCTATTGTTTTTTTAATACAATGCACACTACATGTTTGATATTTAGTTACTCATCTAATGATTCATAGGAGAAGATCTAAGTTAGTTTAGCCTAGTACTACATTAATTCTGTGTATATTCTGATGGAGATAAACAACCTTTTCATCAAACTGCTAAGTAAAAAACTAAATCTATGTGAGAAAACTAAACTAGAACTTTACCTGAAGTCTAGTTTAAGAACTGAACTATTTTTTAAAGTTTGGTTTACTTCAACGGTATCTTCTATCAGTTCTTATTTTTTTCATTGTCTTTTTCCCTCTTTCTTTGGGTTTGCTAATCTCTCTAACTACTCCTAATTGAACCACAATCTCTCTAGTCCGCAGTAAATTATTTGAACAAACACGTATATTGAATGCCTATTTTGCCTATCGTGTACAAGATTATCTTAAGAATATTTATTTTCCCCTACACTTGCTTTGCAATCTTTGATTTCATAATTGAAATTTCTAGTTTCGCTTATTAGTGTGTTGTGAACACTAGTAGTTTAGTTAAAAAATTGAAATGATGAGGAATGTTGCTCATCCTCGATTGAAAAATATGCTAAATTTAGGTTTTAGATTGAATCGATTTTGTTAGTAAGTATAGTTGAGTCAATATCACATATTCCATGTTGTTGGTACAGAGACAAATTGTTCATTAAGACTTAGAATATTTTGATATTTTAATTATGTAGATGAAGTCTTAATATATTTTGGGTTATGATTTTTACATATCAAATTTCTATAATAGACTGATATTCAATATATGTATATTTTTACTGTTCATAGGTAAATTTGTTTAACAAGTTATAAAGTAGTAGTAAATATCTACTTATACTTAATCATAATCATTTTGAATGACTATACACTTTCATAAATTGAATGGCAAAAATGAATGTTTTTAATTTTTTGTCAAATTTTTACATTAGAACATAAAAAAAGTTACTTATTTTATGTTTTTGCTATGAATTTTTTTATAAATGATTAATGAATTAAGAGCGTCACACATTGCATAACAAGAGATTTTAGAGCAATTCTAAACGTTTTTTAAGTTAAAGTGAAACTACTCACACCTCTCTTTTCTAACATAGTGAGTCCACTTATATAAATAATGAGTAAATGTCTAATACAAATCCCACAATAAATAAGAATATAAAGAGAGTTAAGTTTTGTCAATTTTAACCTTTAAGGCTGATTTTAAATATATATATATATATATATATATATATATATATAAATAAAATGTTTTGATGAAAAAAATATATTTATTATATTAAAATTATTAAGGTATATAATTAATGCTTCTTATTAGGGATAGAAACAGCCCAGGCCGCCTGACAAAAGCCTGCAGCCTGACTTGATTTAAATCTGGCCTTTTTAATAAATAAACAAGGCTTAGGCTTTTTTTAAGACCTATATATATATATATATATATATATATATATATATATATAATTTAAAAATAGATCTGTCAAAATATGTTTAAATATATTTTTAATTTTATTATATTAAATTAATATATTATGTTATAATTCTTTTTATTTATAATTATAATAATAGAAATTATATTATATTAAAAATTAAAAATATTTATACACGATTACACTTTTTAAATAATAAATTATCATATTTTTTTACATTTAAATAAGTTAAAGAATGGTTAAATCGTTGAACAAGAACAAGACACAATCAAAACGGAATGAAATAAAATTAAAAAATGAAATAATAATATTATATTAATATATTTTTTATATTCTTAATTTTATTATTATTACTATTTAATTATTATATTAATATATTATGTTTAATTATTTTTCTTTATAATAAATAAAAATTCTTTAAATATGAATTATATTTTATTCGAAACTAAAATTTTATGAAAGAATGATAGAAAAATAAAATAAAAAATTTCATATACAATATATATATATATATATATATATATATATATAATAGGACCATATAATAAATAATATAAATAGTATAATTTTAAAAAAATTATATATAACAATATATACTTTTTGTAACTTAATATGTATTTTATTTTTATTAGTATAAATTTTTTGAGTAAAGTACCTATAAAAAAATTTTACATACCAGACACACAACACATAACAACACACGTAAATATAAATATGTCAAATTTTAAATAATTATTTTTCACAAATTTGACATAAATGTTATAAATTTTTTCTTAAAAATATAATTATTAATATATATTCAAAATTTAATAATTAATAAATATTACAAAAAAAAGTATAAATAAAAAATTAAATTATTAATTAATTTATCAATTTATAATATATATATATATATATATGTTTTAATGTATTATATTAGTAATATTTTCTATATGATATTACTGTTATAGTATAGTTAATTTTACTTATATTTATTAATTTAAAATAAAAATTAATAAAATAAATAAAATTAAATATTTTATAATTATTTTTTAATTTAATAATTATTAATATTTTCATTATATATATATATATATATATTAAGTTTTTATTATATATTTTTTTATTAAGATAAAAGTTTAGAAATATAAATTATTTTAATTTAAATATAAATTTTATCAATTCTTACTATGCTCATATATTATTTTTTTGTGTTCTTGAACTTTATTATATAAATATTTTTTATTTATAATTTTTACAATGACTATTTATTTACTTTTTTAAATATAATAATTTTTTTAGCTGGTTCAACAAATTTTGTAAGTGTTATTTTTTGTTATAAATTTTATGTATTTACTTTGATTTTATTTATTAGATATAAGATTTTTTTATTATCTTTATATAAACAAAATATAATTATCATAAAAAATAATTAAAATCTTTAATACTTTAATTATAGTTATTAATATACATTTGAAATTCAATAATTTGAAAATATTTATATAAATAAAAAAATTAAATTATTAAATAATTTATCAATTTATATTTTATATATAAGTATATATTTTAATTTATTATATCAGTGATATTTTTCTATATTATATTAATGTTATAGTGTTATTCATTTTATGTGTATTTATTAATTTAAAATAACAAATTAATAAA